AGCTTCCTTCTACCATTCAAAATCATTCAGTCTGCTGTCTCTTTCCACCTGATTACTTTAACAAGCATCCCACCCCCCTCATGGGGGAAGAGAGAGGTGCAAGTTCATGTCCATTCTGAATAAATACTGCAACTGGGCATGCTGTTTTACTGGAAGCCAACCTCAGCTGGAACCTCATGGTGATGTCAGTGTTATACATCCCAGTAATCCATAAAATAATGTTATTAAAAATATTTCTTACCTTAAAGAACATAAATGTTGAATTACGTTCCAAAAGGATTATGACAGATTTCAAGTAAGATGAACAAATAAAATTACACTACTCATCTATCAACCATAAGAAGTACGTTACAGTGGAACTTGGAATTTCTTCTTGTATAATATGATAATACATGCAGGAGAAAAAAAAAATCACACAAAAAGAAATAACAAAAAAAAACAACAGTTCATGAGATAAGAACCTTACCAAATTTCAGAATTGCCTTTTACAGCATATATATATATATATATTACATATTTTTTCCCCATCTGAGCACATGCTTGGATCAGTAAAGAGGATAGAAGAAATACAATGAAATGGGTTTTTCAGTAGAAGAAAACTGCAATAGGAATGATGCCATGAGCCCAAATGCAGGGAATAACTGCTTCACCAGTAACCCGGGACTCCATCTCAAGTTGTCTGAAGTCCTGCACTGGATAACTTTAAGTGAGCAGAGATGGACTGCAGCATTATTTGCATCTCATTAATGGCCATGCATTTTCACTACATACAGAAATTAACCTCTATGCTATGACTTGCAGGCTCAGGGGTAATAATGAAACTGCAGTCAAACACCTTTCCTCCACTAAAGCTCTTCGGTTATTACTAACCTCAGAAAACAAAAACAGGATAAAATTGTAAGCATGACATAAATATTTAATTTCAGTGCCTGTCCTATATTCTTGTATGATAAATAAAAAACAATCTTGAAATGAAGTTCATAGATTTGGCTGTTACATGATGTTCAAGTTTCTGCTCCACACTCTACTGGGGGTAACTATTCATTTCACCAGGAAAAAGAAATATGACAACAGGAATCAACAGAAAAACCTTGAAATTCTTAATCTATTTTTGCTTTCTCAGTACAAGACTCCTTTAAAGATAGGAAAGATGCTACTGAAATATAAAGTGAACCATAAAGCTAGGCAGCATTTTTTGACCTTGTTTTGATTCAGATCTGCACACACATAAAAATGCTACTTCTCAGCTACTTATATATATTTGTATGCATATACATATTTATGAATATATCCTTATTAATGTTCAACATATTCATAAAATATATTTCTTAGTTTGATAGGCACTAAGAGGAGAAAGAGATAATACTATGACAATATGGAAAATGCGAAAAAAAATATTTTAAAAGGTAAAAGCAAATGAAACATTCCAGCATAGTTCCTTTTTTTGTCAGAGATTTGAATTAAAAACATGAAATATAACAAAGTGCTGTAGAAATTTGTCGATTTAACAAACGGTGATGCCTATAATAGGTGTTACGGAGCTCAGTTTGGGACGTATAAGAGCCCACTCAAAAGCTGTACTGACCACACAATTTAATGCAACTGGACTTAATACACAAACAAAACAATAACAATCAAAAAAGCCACTTCAATATAACTTTTTAATTTTGATTTGAAGCAGTTGAAGAGAATTTAATGGTGATATTAGACTTGGTACAGTAATTCTAGAAATGTTTTTAACCTTTTGTAGTATTTTGTCCCTATTTCCTCCAAGGATTTTTACCCCCTTTTAATTCCTGAATTCTGGTTTAAGATACTTTCATTTAGCCACAGACCATGCAAGTTATGAAAGGCAAACCTCACGTCAGTATATTGAATTGCTGCAATTTGACTATGTATTACAAGGTTTGTCTACCTTTAGAGTTCTTAAAAATCTTACTTAAATACAGAGTATTCATGGAAGCTACTTAGAGCCACACTGTGCTTTTGAGCTGCATAATAGTTTCCACAGATTTTTACGGATGTTTTGGGAGAACTGAACTGGAATGTAACAAAAAAGCATCGCCTACTTACTGCTTGACTACACAATGAACAAAAATTCATACCATTCTTTAAAGTTTAGAATATTTCTTTTTTTTCTTTATATTAGCATTTATATTTTTTCTTTATATTTTTTTTTCTTTATATTATTTTCCTCCAATTCCCACTTTCATGTCCAATATCAACTTATTGCTCAATTGTTTTCCTCTCTGATTTTTTACTTCTAGTTCATTCAGTTTTCAACTGATTCTATTAGAAGTGGTAAAGCTTGCTAACGTTACTATAGTATTTTATAGTAATATTAGTCAGATAGGCTGCCTTGTTATTTGATGACACAGCCTTTACACACTACTTAGAAGAAGAAACCATGGGAAAGGTTTCAGCACCATTGTGCTAACACGTAGCACAGTTCTGATAACTAAAACTCATTTGTTTTTGTTGATTTTCTTGGATATCAGTGGATGAGATTTGGCTCAGCATGGTTTTCAGAGACTGAATTTTGACACATTCATCATTTCATATTCCATAAATTTCCAGATATGTAAATAAAGCTACAATATATCTTTTAATAAGTATGTTGTAAATTACTTTTGGCAGTGTGGTAGGGGACACACGAGTAATATCTCTAGTACGCGTGTTTGTGTAGAGAGCAAATAACTGAAAAGAGCTTGATAACACCTAGATTCACTGTATTCTTGTAATTTTTGCATAATTCATAGTAATTAAAACACAGCTTGAAAGAGAGTAGGTGTTGATTTTATGTTTTTTTCAGTTCTGGAAGGATTTAGGAGCTCAAATAAGTCTCCCAAGTTTCATTTTTAGTATTAATGGGATGCGTGACCAATTTTCTTTTGATTCCCCTTGATTTTTCTGCCTCGTGCACATTATATTTTACACATCCCAGGCTAAGGCTCTGCTCCCGTTTGACACTATAGCAAGCCCCACGTGCAGTAAAAATACCATTTTCCTTTACATAAATTGTTAGGAGGATACAAATCAATGAACTCTCATACAGTACTTTATTCTCCTACAGTGAGAGGTAACCTCTGGCAGCTTTTTCCTCAGGACTGTATTGACAG